ATATATAAATGTCACGAATACTAGGTATGGTGCCTGCTAATATACTGAATTGTAGCGACTTGTTTTGATTAACTATTGTTGCTTTGTAATGTTTGTTTTATGCTTTGTATTGCTGATTGCCAAAGGCACACTCACAAATCTTAGCTATGTCTAAATCAACAGATACGTTGGCCTCAAATCTTGCATTCGATGATTCAGATTTATCGCAGAGTCAAGTGTTATCTGGAATCCTACTTTCTGTGTCGTTTCCACTATTTTTCTATTTGTAAGAGTTTTTTGGTCAGTGGATTTATTTGCATCTAAATTGTGAAACTCACAATTTCCGTTTTCTAGCGTCGGAAAATCCTAATTACGGGATGTCGTTGCACCATAGGGATTTTTGGTTCTTTACGGCGCCAAATTTGCTAATTATGGGCCCTACCTTGGTACCTGCTGGCTTTGTATGTGTAATTACAAGTTCCTACCCAAATGAGTGTTCTAGTCATCAGTCGTCTGCCAGATTCTTGCCTTATCATTTAATTCTCAATCTCCTCTGTGTTACTCAGCCTAACTATCTTCAGCTCCTCTCTTCAGTTGTCAGGCCAATCACTTGGCTTAATGTATTGGCTACACCCTTTTGTCCTTCGCCCTCATTGCACATACCCGGCCTCATTACACCCCCCTTGGTGCCAAATTTTTCAGCCTGAGCTGCCGCCCTCGAAGTGTGCTCGAGATCGTTCAGTCGAATCGTTTTCGTCCTGTTCCTCTGGCTCCTCGAGGTCCTCGAGGTCCTCCAAGCCCTCCAAATCCTCATCCTCTTCCGGATCCAACTTGCCCCGATCATCGGTCTCCCCTTCCACGCTCAGTAGCGAGAGTCGAAGAAAGAAGAAAGTTTCTAGAAGTCATAAGGAAAGTTACCCAAAGCGGCATCATCACCACCATCATCATCGACGTCGCCGACAGACTGTGGCCAAGACACCTAGACATGGTCACGAGACCAAGCAATCAAATCCTGTTATGATATCGGTCGAACCATTCTCTGTTCAGGATGGAGTGACCTATGTCAGTCCTGCTTCTGGCTCTGCACCTAGTCCAAGTCATGGACAGAGCTCTCTTGATGCGGTTGATTCGATACCTTCCTCCATCCTTCCTCCCACTTCGCTTCCCTATCTTCCCTCTAAAGATCCCAATACCACTATGAATGGTAACTCTTCGCTATTGCTCGGGCAGCCACGCAGCTATGGAGGTCCCAATAAGGATGAAAGGTCCAGTCTGACTACTAGCTCTAGTGGGCTCGTCTCTACATCAACATCAACATCGGCCTCTGTTCGCCGTCCGGGCAACGGAGCTCACCATCGACCTGGCCGGCACTCACGATCCAAGTCCGGTTCCCGATCATTGTCACGGGCCCGATCACGATCCCTTTCAGAGTCAAGGTCGCCTCGTCCCTCACAGACGACTACCTGTTCTACTAGCTTGCGCGGCGGGCATCGACATCGCCACCGCAAATCCGGCTCTTATCGGAGATCCAGATCCAACTCCCGTTCTACTTTTTCTGCAACACGATCTATGGGGACGCTTTCAGGCACTAGATTAACCAGTGGCAGTTTTGGTAGTAGTAGTTACTATGCGCGCCGACATGGAGGTCGCGGCGGTGGCACGAGTCTTTCTACAACTAGCTGGAGCACTAGTCGGCGGCGCCGAAGAAGACGCGGAAGTTCTTTTGGATCCTCAAGTCGGTCTTCATCACAGTCTTCACGCCCGTCGCCGCGGTCATCTCTATCGACTACTAGTCGACGTAGCCGCCGCCGAGCTTTATATGGTGAAAGCAGTACAACACATACAGGCAGCAGCGACCGAAGGCCGGCTCATGCTGTTGGATATATTCGAAGAGAGATGGCTGAGACAGCAAAGCTACGCTCTGCCTCATATACATCTTCTGCCAGCTCTTACTCTAGAACTTAGCCATCATTGCGATGCTGTGCCGAAAAATTATCAAGTGGAAAGAATGGAATAGGCGACCATTAACCTACTTTATTACCATCTTGTTACCTACTAACTAGGTGGACGAATCAAGTACTTTAAGTCTGAAAATATCGAGGTTTTGATTTGTATTTTCGCTCTTATTGTTCATTTTGTTCTCTCTGCCAGTGTGCTATTTCCGTGGTCCTCTACATTTGTAATCCCTGATAGTTGCCCAGTTTTGCTCACTTTTTTCTGCAGAAA